CACACCCACACCCTACATATTTGTACTATATCGGTTTGTACTAGTTCATATTTTTCATTACTGGAAAGTTTTTATTCTCTCACCCATCACTAATTAATGAAGATTTCGTTGCTGTAAAATCGCGTTCGGTCGAATGTTTTCTGATTGACGACCATAGCTAAGCTCATGAGTAATTGTAAATTCTCTGCATATGCATATTATTTGCCTTTTAAATGCAATCATCACTAAATAACTTCATGATCGAAAAAAAATATTCATAGCTACATAACAAGGATAAAAATTTTAAATCGACATCGAATTGATGATATACGTATTACAGTTTTTAACATTGATCTTTTACGTTTTCAATTTATTTTAAATGACTACACCATTGTTACTATAATGCGTTCTTCTTTACATATTTGATCAAATCTATCTCTAATGGAGCAAAAAAAACAAAAAATGCAATTAAATATTGGTATAAAGGATTCTTCAGTTTAAAAATACGCAAGTCATTCTTATGATTCAACTAGAATTGTATTCATAAAATTATTCATTTTTGGGCACTTAGTATAAAACTGGTAGATAACCTAGTGGAAAACAAAAAAAAGTTATTTTTATTTGTTGTTGTTATCATATTGAAATAGGATTTATACTTTTAATTGACCAAAAAAAGTTTTGATAGAAGATAGGAATCATAAATCTTTTGGTCAACAGCTGTAGATAAAAAGGTTTTACATACTACTTCGACGTAGAAGAATTACACAATAAATTAAAAGCAAACGAATCTGTGTATACGATAAAAAAAATTGGAATATTATTTACTTGTAGGAAAATTTCTTCTCTTTCGTACGCATAAGACCATTAGCTTCGTACACAACTTCAGGGGTTTACCTATTAACAGTAACTAACGAAATCACTTGTTCGTTTATGTAACTATGTTAAGATAAATCAATTTTACTATTTTTATCTACATTTCAAATTTTGTCGTGTTGATTTCTAACGTCGTATAGAAGTTGTCATCGGTAATTTTATGCATTCAAATTTCAATCGAATAGTTTTTGACATATTGTTATTCCGTTTCACTCTTTTCTTTTGTTTTGTTTTATTATAATATGAAAAACAAACAAGCAAAACATCCAACATATCCATACGAATTTTCAAATCACGAAAGTATCATAAGAAAACGAAAGCTCGTATTTCTCATACAACAAATATTGGCTCAATAGAATTTCATATTTTTTTCCCTTGAACATATTCATAAATTCGTATGTACAACGAAAAACAGAACAAAAAAACTGCCGTAAAAAAAACACAAAATAGAACCATCAATATATATATATATATATGTGTGTGTATATCAAATCAGTAAAGTAACAAATTGTGGTTGATTATGTATATCTTTTCTACACATGGGACACGAACGATTCTTCATCATCCATTCTTTGATACAGGATGAATGATATTCATGTGAACATGATAATATACTAACTTCTTGTCCACTACGATATGTTTCAAGACATATTGAACATTCCGATGCTGATTCCCCATCGGATAATGTTGACGATTGTGATGGAGATAAACATATTGTTATTGGCGAATTTTTATTTTCAATATTATCACATATGGTTTCCATGACTAAATTAACATTTGTTTTTTTTTCTTCTTTATTTATACGGACAGGTTTTTTCGACTCATTGAGTACTCGTTGAATAACTTTAACCTATTGAATATGATATTTAATGGAGAAAATTAATTTGTTAAAAACACTTACGCTTGGCAACGTTTGAGACGTACAAATACCATTTTGTAATAGAATTTGTTGAATTTCCCAAACAAATACTGTTGGTTGATTTGCTTTAAGTTTAAGAATTTCATTACGAAGTTGAGCAGTTAAACGTGGACGTTGTTTTTTTATTAACGAATTTGAATGTTTAGAATGAAATACAGAGCTAGATGAAATTATTGAAGATTGTGTAGTTGGTTCAGGCACATTTATTGGTGGAATAACATTAACAAACGATGGATAATTATGTGTCCGAAGTGTATTTATTGAATCTGTTTGTGCTCGACTTGATGATAGACTATCCGCTGATTTATTAGTTGTTGATGATTGAGATACAGATGAATTGATCGGATTATAACATGGAAATGAAGCTGAAATAGAAAATAAAAAAATGTCAGTAGCTTTGTTGTTCTCTATTTTTTTTGTATAGATCAAGTATAGAAAGTTCATCCATAGAGTATTTTTCACTTTTTCCTACAACGGTAACAACTAGTATAGGTCGAACAAAAGATTGTATTACTTGAAACAAATTTCGATTGATACGGAAACGTTTCGAAATAACTAAGACTCACAAAATTATTTTTCCAGACAAGTTCGTACCTCCGAGCTTTTGAGTACAGGACATTTAAAATAGGTTACTGAGAGCTTGCGGATATTTGATTTTGTTTCCTTATTTCAATTAATTAAAATAATGAAAAAAAATTGCTTCTTGAAATTTTCGATAAGTAACTTTTCGATGGAGAGAAAATCGATGCGATGATTAGAACATTTATTTAAAACAAAACAAAACAAAAACAAGGAACGTTCGGTTTCTCCAAATAACTTTAAAATATCGTATAAATTATATTCATTCCAAATCCTATTGGATTACATTACTGTTAAGAACTCAGTCAATACACATTGAAATAAATAATCTGTATTCTTAGAAACGAAACCATATATATATGATTACTTTCTTATCAACAGCATCAACTGTCATGTACGTACAATATATTTCAACGCAGCAGATGATAGTCATCGTTGATTCTATACTCCTTGCGTGCTTCTCAATGATTATAAATAAAAAAGAAGAAAATGTCTAACTGACTGACATAATACTGTTGAAATTCCGTTTAAAAAATATCTGAATATAACCAACGGCTATTCCTTATGAAGAAAAAAAATTACTTGATTGCGAATAATCTTGATATGAAGCACTACTATGTGCACGCATTAGTGATGGTCCATTATTCCAACTGAAAAATAGTTCTGATGGATGATAATGTGCTGCTGTATGTGAATAATTAAATGGACTTGATGATGGATGATTAGTTGTCGATGTTGAGAATATCGAATTGGATATTGGTAGAACTGATTCAGCTAGATGATAAACATAATTAAATATACAATATGATTTCTTTTCTTTGTTTACGTACTATGCCGTCTATAGAAATTTTGATTCGAAGTCAGATCGAACGATAAATATGAATTATTAAATTTATTAGTTGATTCTATAGATGGTATGCCACCGGTGGAAGACATTGCTCCAAATGAATATGGGGTTGGCTGATAATCAAATGTTGTATGAATCGGTTTCTCCCAATGATTATTATGATGATAATCATAGCATATACTTGAATGTGAACGATGACTTTCATTCGTATTATAATCTAAATAAGACTCGTTATGTACAAACAAAAGTTTTTATTTTCTATTTTGTTAACCTTACCAAGAGATGGAGGCATTGAATTAGCGGTATTTTCTTTTAGAGTCATCATCATTATCTAAAACGATGAAACGCGTAGAAAAAAAATATATATATATATATATGTTCAATCTTTGTAAATCACAACAAACAAATAAAAATAAGAAGATCCACTTCGTAAAGACAACTGCATGCGTTTTGTATGCCTTCTCTCTAAATACGAAGAATAGACGGTTGTTCGTTCTAAACGAGCGAATGAGGGAGAAAAAAATCGAGAGAGAGAGAGAGAAAAAGAACACGACGGAGAAAGATGCTAGACGCGTCTTTTTTTCTCTTAATTATTCAGTTTATTCTTTCGTTCTATACGTAGATTTTCTCTCGTTTTTTCTCCTTCTTATCCTTCTATTGTATGTAATGGAAATGGAACTAGGCTATCTGTAGTCGACATCCTCTCGCTCTGTATTTGAACAGTTGAGTTTTTTCCCTTGCGGTTAAAATCGTGCGAACATCACGTATCAATTTGAATAATCAAAACAAGAAAATACGAGAGAAAAAGAAAATTTCATTTTCAAAATGACCAAAGCATGTTTAGATAATCATTAATTTCTTAGTAAAGATACACATACGTACAGCAGCAAAAAAAGAATAAGGAGAAGTGAGCCACAAAAAAAAGAAAATGTAGAATGAAAAAAGAAAAAAAGTGCACAGAGGAAGACAAGACAAATACAGAACTTTTTTTTTCTTGCTTACTGTTAACATTTTAAGCGTATAAATGATTTTTACTGTTGTACGTTAAAGAAGAAGGAAAAAAGCAAAAAAAAAAACATCAATATATGCAGTCCTATATCAGCAAGTCGTTAAAAAATTATCTCGTCGGCATATGGGACATGATGAATTCATAGTAAACCATCGCGCAATACATTTCGAATGATATTCATGAAGACATGGAAGTACACGTATATGTTGTCCGTTTTTAAAATGAGACATACAAATAACACAAGCTGTTTGTTTTGATGATAAAATTTCTGCTGTTGTTGTCGTTGTTGTTATTGCTTTGTAATGATATGAAAGAAATTGTTCAACATCAACTTTATCAAAACGATTTGGATCAGATAATTTTTCGGCTAAATCTAATAATTGTTCGTAATTTTCGCGTTCACGATAAGAACGTGATGGTTGATGATGCGAATAATAATGTAATTGTTGTTCATCAGACGAACATGTTGATGATGATTCTGTTGAAGAATCTGAATGTGCTGGAGAAATATTTCCTGTGCGTAGAATTGTTTGTTGTTTACTGTCAAGAGCAAAATTTGTCCGTAATGGACTGGTTAAATTCGATTGAGGAGACGATAGGCATATATTATTCTCGTTGGTATTCATTGATGAGTTACAACGTGTACCTAAAATTCAACAGAAGTAGAATTTTAGCTGTTTTTTCTGTATGTCCATTTAGTTAAAAACAAGAAGAAGTTTGTAATGTCATGCATAGATCTCATAAGTCTAGAATAGACTATTGTTGCTGTTAATTTTTATTGTAAAAGTTCAAACAGTATTTTCTTTTTAGTTTGATTGATATTTCGTAAAGCTATGAAGAAAGTGCTTTACATGAGCGTTATTTTGAACATGTTTAATTAAGAAATTCTTTTTCAGATAAATGAGATCGCCAAAAGATAGTATAAATTCTAATTAAGAAAGTAGAGCTAAAAATTTCATCGTAGAAAATAATCAGAAAGTTATTTATTTGACTGAAGTCATTCGAAATTTATTTAAAAAAAAGAATATTTCCTATATAGACATCAAAGTTGAACCGGCTATGGTCATGTTCCGTTGAATGCATGAATTGAGGCGAAAGTGTGAAATGTTTTCTTTCATGTTTTTTAATAATTAAACTTAACAGATGAAAAACATGTTTTATGGCAAGAAAATGTATTGTGTTTACCTCAACATGAAACACTCAGACATACAATGCCTTAGTACATTTTTACAGAAACGATTGTTTTCTCAAGCTGAACTTAGAATAGTTGTTCGTTCGACGACAATACTCAATCGATCATTTCCACCTAGATTCTCAATATTAAACTAAATCATCTATTTTTAATAATCAATAAATTGTAAATACTACTCGTTTATTTCCTCTTTAATAAGCACTATATCAATACAATCTGTCATATTCTCAAACACTAGAAGTGATATTATATTTGAAAATTCTTTTATTTATAGGAGCCTATCGTATACATGCTTTATTACAATAAAGCCTTACAGAGTTATGTCAAAGAAACTACGAATTAATTTCGATATGAGTTGATTGAATTTTTATTTGATGAAACTCGGAATTTAAAAATTTTTATTTATGTGTTCGTATCAAAATATGCGTATTTTTCAAGGTTTTTTAGTTGAAACATACTTTTAACTAGAAGTTATAAAAATAAATGAAACACAAACAGAAGACCTGGTCAATTCTTCTAGTGTATAGAGAAAAAACTTTTACTCACTTTTTTGCGTAGGAATCATTAATGTATCATTGGCAAACATGCATAAATGTTGATTAGTTTGATGTTGTGCATGTAAATCACAATGAGAAAAACGACTAGTCGGATTTGATTCATATTCATGATTGGATGTATTATTCAAGTGGTGATAATTTGATAACGATGGCAATAATTCATTATATGATGATGAAATTTCATTTTGAATTTGTAAATTATTCCAATTTTGTCTTGGATGATATAAAAATAGGGATCGATGTTGTATTGTTGCACGTGGAGGTTGATTTTCTAATTCAATACTCTTCGATTGATCATGCCGAATTCGTTTATTGGTCTAGAATAAGAGATAAAGTTTAAGAAAACAAAACCAAAGAAAAAAACAATTCTTAATTACATATTGATCGTATTCTTCTATGAGATTATCATCTTGTATCGGTCGTTTTCGGCTTACGGCTGTAGCTGTTGAACGAACATTTTGATTGTACATTAAATTTGAATAGAATTCTGTTTGTTCATTTACTGTTGAAGATCTTTGTTGTTGAGGCGTAATGATTGTGGCTGACGGTAAATAACCGACTGGAATGGGAACTATTCGTTGTTGATAATTTGGATTTGTAGTTTCATCATGTTCATCAATACATGATCGTACGGACGAACGATTCATTGCGCGCTTCGTCTTTTTATCCATTATTCAAAACAAATTCATTCTAAAGAAACAAAAAGAAGGCAATGTTCTATCAATTTTTCTCATCTTGTTTAAAACTATACAATAAAATTTATCTTATGTTAGCCGATATTTGCTTAAACGGAACACTGCACATTTAATTCGGATCCCAAGGTTCCTATGGTTGACTGATTCTGTTATTCGACAGACATTGTTTCGGATGTAAGTCAGAATCCAATAGCACAAGGTAGTTAGAATATTCAGATATTCTTTATTCTTTCTACTGGCCTCATTAGCGATAATTATTTCTCTAATGAGAGCAACATATGTTGTATCACAGATTGAGAAAAATAAATGATGTTATGTGTATAACGCTATGATAAACAATTACCGGACATACAACTGAACTAACCATGCATATTTGAGATAGAGAGAGAGAGAGAGAAAAAAAGCTACATTAGACGTCAGCAGCAATAATTATTTGGTGTAGCATCTCATGATTTTTGTGTTAACAGTTAGTCACGTCAACTTTTGCCAACACAAGTCGGTATGTTGCTGATTAACAAATGTGGAAATAATGACTATCAATTTATGCAGTTGATAAGAAAACGAAAAGTTTTCCAGTGAAAAACGCACTGTCCAGTTTGGATAGAATTCATTTTTAACATCACAGGGTTGAAAGAATATATTATTCGATGAGAATTATATAATTGATTCACACATGTCATGAGCGGAAAACGAATAAATTCATTTCTATTTTCAGAATAAAAGAATGTCATTCATACATGTTACTGTTTATAGATCTAAGGTTTCCTGTCTTTCATTTTATTTTTTTAATTCACCAATGAATATTTATAGATCAGTGAACAGAGCTTAAAATCATCAGAATGAAAAAAAACTTTTACATACCTATATTATCATTTGATCAAACTTAAAATTAACTATAAAAATAAAATCTAAAATACAAATAAATAATAATTATCAACGAAGAACAAACAAAACCAAAAAGAAAAAGATTTTTTCCCTTAGAATTTTACAACACTAGAACATGAACTATATGTTACAACTAAAACAAAGTTGAAATAATAATAATTATAACAACAACAACAAAAATTTTCTATACGCACAAAAAAAAGACGAAATCTGACACAACATTAAAAAAAACTGAGATTCAATTAGAATTTATTTCTCTTTTTGTCCTCGAGTATTTCATTATAAAATTACTAGAAATTATTATTATTATTTCTTTGATTTGAGCACCATTCTTCGATTTTGAGATACACGAAAAAACAAAAAACACGATCTGACCATAGCTGTTAAATTTCAATCGATGGATAAAAATCGATAAGCTGTTTTTCTATATTGATTCGTTCATCAACTAATCGTGCTAATTCATCGTATACAAGTAAAGTTGATCGACGGCGTCCTTTACGCCATGCTTCGCTACCATTATTTCCATTTTGTTCATGATTATTAATATTATTAGTAGTAGTAGCAGTAATCGGATTGACATATTTACATAATGAAATAACATTCTCACTTGGACGTTTACGTAAACGAATTGAATTTGTTATTTCAAGAACTTTATCATCAATATCAGTTAATTCGATAAGACTACGGTCAAGTTTATTTTGTTGTTCAGCACGATGAAGAGCTAGGCGCTCTAAATGAAGAGATTCCGCAAGTCGATATTGCAGTTCAGCATATTTGGACGAGAAGTCACTAAAGCAAAAAAATAAAAATATGTGATTTTGTATTATTATGTCCTTGAAAATAAAAGTCACAAATTGATTTTTTTCTGCATTTCTCACAATAAATAAAATCATTTTATGTAATGTATGACTTCATTTTTAACATACAAGTAGAATGGGGGATGAGGAGTCATTGCGTTGGAGTTAAGAACATTTTCTTTCTAGCGAATTATTATACAGTAGAAAACCACCGCTAGCTTTTGCATATAGATCATCCTGAGATTCCATTTCAAAGGAAAGAAAACATTTCCGGTTTCGTTTACAATTGTCTTAACAGAGTAAAGAATATGTGCTATCATGAACATCTTACTTATTATCACGTCGAAATAAATTCAATATTGAATCATCGATTTCCGATGAATTTTGATTATTTGACATAGCAGAATGTTTGCGTTTTAATCGATGATTGTTTAATGTTGAATTATTTTTTGTTTGATTACTATTTGATATATTCTCAACTAAATTATACAAATGCAAATTTTGTTTTAATACAACTGAATATTCTAATTCAGGATGTAAATATTTTTCTTTTGTTAAAAGATATTCATCTGAATGAATTATTTCCTTGTATTGGCTATAAATTTTTTCATAATCGAAATTATTTAATAATGATTGATCAATATTAATTAATTTTTCAATATAACTAAAGCCGTTTTGTTTTAAAAACTCATGTTGATGATTTTTAATTTTAGTCCAAAATTGATCTGGATGTGGAATATTATTCAATTGTAATTTATTATTGGATACATGATTTTGATTGCCATGACGATAGTTTGTTTCATTATTATATGGATAAGAGAAATTTATCGGACGATATGATCGTATTGGGCGTGTTGAATTTCCATTCGTTTTTGTTTGTAATAAATCTTTTTTTACCGATAAAGAACTATTTCCATTACATTCACGTTTAAGTGATTTTAAGAAAGTTAACGTAGAAGTTTTTCTTCGCTTGCGACGTTTTCTTGATATTTGTCCACTAAATGCTTTACGCTTTCGTTCACGTTCTGCTTTGAAATCCCGTGCTTTTTTACCATTCGACAATTGCATCATAGATGATAATGGTAATTCTAAATTTTCTCCATCAGAATTCGCAAGCTGATTTTGACGTTGTAAAGCAGCAACAAGAACAGATTCAAGTTCTTGCTGAATAAATGTCAAATCATAGATAAATATTCCTTGTTGAAATGTTATATCAATTGTATTGATTATTTGTTGACATCGTGGACATGCTGAACTGTAATCCGCATAATGAGAAGCAGCAGTTGACATACTGCTTCTCGAATATGAACGGAATTCGTATGAATGCTTATAGAATCTTAAACAGAAAAAAAAAGATGACATCGATTATTTTATGTGACAGATCATTGGCGAACGATAGGTTTTTGTTTCTTTTCTAATCAACGAAGAAATTATTGACAAAAAACAAGAAGAGAAGATTTGAAGAGAACGAACAAGTCTTTTTTTTATTTTATAAACCTTTCAGTGTTACACAACTCGCTAACCAACGAAAAAAATCGACATTTTAATGCGTTAGAAAAAGAAAAGTTGTGCATTTCTTTTTTTCCTAACGTCTTAGAAACTACTTATTTTATATGTATTGAAAATGTCGAAACTATCGTTACTCAAACGATTGTAGAAACGAACTAAGCGTACAGAAAAACATTGAATATAAGATTCTTGTTTTTGGCTATACATATCTGAGTCAAGAACAATTAACACATACAGACAAATAAAGAAGAAGTGGAGTAGTAAAAAGAAACCGGGCTTATCCTATTGATCGATAATATATAATTCTTCTAATTGTTGATCGAATTCTTCTTCATATTTATTCCAATCCTCTAATAGTTGACCAAGATTTTGAAGTGACTTTTCTGTAATGTTATTATGATTATGAGCGCTCGTGGCATCGATTTTTTCTATTAAAGTTCCTAAATCACGTTCAATGGCGTTTAATTTTTGCCATGCTTGTTCATTATCTGATTGTAAACGTGCATGTTTCAAGGCTGAAGAAGTTATTAATGAACATTCATGCAATAAGGATATTAATGTTGATAATTTTGCTTGAAATGCATCTGTACAAATTTCATTATTAATTATCGTCGTTGGTATGGACATTGATGTAGAAGTTTTTCGTTTTTTTGCTGGCTTAACATCATTAAATAATTGTCTTTTAACTGTTTCGTTTGTTGATGGATGTTGATCGGTTAAATAATTTTGAACGAGTTGCACACGTTGTTGAAATTTAATCGTAGACGATGGACTAGATATGAGTTTACTTTTCTTTTTGCATTTCATCAATGATGTTGATAGTGGTGATGAGACTATGTCAGAATCATCTTCGAATTTGAGCTAGAATATAACAATTAATTAGCTTATATGGTGTTAGATAGTTTTTAAGATGATATTTTATTTCGGATTAAATAAGAAACGGCATAGAAAGGTAGTTCTATATTGGGAATTCGTGTTTGAATCTATGAGTCATAGGGACCCTAATGAGCTATGGAAATTGACAAATGAGTTTGAGCTTGCTACTAACGAGATACTATATTATTGTGCTATTTTTTTTTGAAGGTTTATACGTGTAGATTTGATTGAAGGCAAGGCATACGTCTACGCCTACAACCATTCTTCTATTTATATCAACATATTTTCATCGTAAAAATAACAACAACAACAACAACAACAATAACAGATAAAAGTACTTTTAGTTTTATGACCAGAAGAATATGTAAATCAAAAAAACGAAGGTATTTTTACTTAAATACCATGATTATTCTTCTCAGCAGTATTAATAGAAATGATTGTCGAATTACGATTTCAAAACCAAGCAAATAGCATAGGCCTTGATGAAAATTTCACATCTGTTTTTCATTCTGACGATAAGATAGCGGCATTGTAAAAGCTATTCAAAAGATTTGTCCTAATGTAAAAATCACTCCTTATTGTAGTTGATAGTACCATAAGGCTTGAATTCATCTCAGAATATTTATAGCTTGCCACAATTTACACATGCCGTATGGTGTCGTACATTAGTGGTGATAGGTTTCTTTTTTATCAGCTGATGGCTGATAAAAATTTCTATTCGTATAATAAACTTACATTAGGTAAAGCGAATAAACCGGTTTTATTATTTGAATAATCATTTGGATGTAGACGTGGTGAAACACGTAATGAAGCTCCAAAATCTTTGAAATCACAATTATTGGCTAATATTCGTCCATGCATTGGACTTGATATAGGCGTTTTATAAACAGGAGATGTCTGTCCCATATGTTCATATAATTTCGATTGAAAACTTCCTAATGTTGTTCGATCAACATAATGTGTTATCAACGGATCTAATTGCGATATTTCTGTTAATTGTTCATAGTTTTCTTCATTTAATTGTTCGATTATATTCGCTTGATCTATTGATTGATTATTATAATCTGATTTCAATTGTTCTAATTTATTTTCTAAATGACCATTAAATTCGACTAGATTTTCAATCGTTGAAATATCATTTAATGATATTTTACGATAGTATGTACTCATATCGGTCCATATCCGATCGATACGAGCACCGAGAATTGGCGCCATAGCAACTTGTCTATCAAGTAATAAATGTGGACCACTATGTTTTTGATGATGATGCTTTGTTAATGGTGGTAATACTTTTTTCGGTGCTTTCTTCGATGTATAAATACGTTCAGCTTCTTGATGTTTACGAATGTGTGAACGCACTGTGTCTGCATTATTAATTAATGAATTCGAAAGATTGGTAAATATATTTTCTCGTACTATTGACATAGATAAAAGTGCTTCGAGTTCTTGTTGTACTAATTGTACTTCATGTGCGAATACACCTGCTTGTGTATGTTTATTTGATAGTATTTGATCAATATTCGGACATATCCGTTCCCAATTGGGTAATGTGATTTCATTGATTTGTTGAGATAATAACGAAGATGTTTGACGAGATGAAAATTTCTGCGTGACAAAAAAAAAGATATGATTAAACTAAAAGTCTTTAATGATACATTAACACCTATAATTAATCTCTGTAATACTAATTCTACTTTGTAGAGATAATCAAAGCTTGAAGTCATTTCTTTCAATATAGAAATATTTATTTATGAATTCTATAACAAAAGAAGTAAAAACAATTTCATCAATAGGTATTTCCCATTCTGACATCAGCAAGTGAAAAAACATAACAAATAGATTCATTTTTTTAGAATCAATGAAATTCTAATTCGAACAACTTACACGAAGTGTTTGAGTATCATTGATTGAGTTATGTTCATTATTTGTATCAATTGATGAATTTAAAATAGATTGATTTTTTGATTTTGTTCGTGTTTTCTTTTTAACTGAAGGCAATGATACTGTTTCAACATCATTGTTCATATCTATATTTGCATTTTGTGGTGATAGATGACGACGTCGTTTCAAGTTCGTTAGAAAACCATAATCTTCTAATGAACGTTTCTGTTGCTGATGATTCATTTCATTTGTTGTTGTTGGTGATTGGTTATTATTATCATTGTCATTATTTGCTATTGCTGAACGTCTCATTATTGGATTGTGCAAAGATGAATTTATTTTATTAAATCATAACATCTGAATTATATCGGAAAAACAATTTTATTTCATTGATAAAATAAAATAGGAAGGTCATAAGACGACAAGATGGATGGAAACCTATTTAGTTCTGTCCTGATTGCTTTCTTTTCTTTTGTTCTTAGTCTTTTATTATTAGTTTATCACGAACATTAACGAGCCAATAGAAAAAGATAAATAAACATAGATGACGTTAGATGTTGATCTTCATCGACGAAAAGATCGAATTTTGAAAATGTTTTTCTTAAAAGCCTAATCTATTTATATCTAGTACTTATATGAAAAAAAACATCGAGAAGTTGCTCGTTCTGGCATTCGTTCTCTAGTCGAAGTTTTTTTTTCATGCGCTTGACCTGCACAGACCTCAAGATTTGTCCATAGCGCAGGACTCTCTTGTTACAGATCCTCAAGTATCTCACGCGCATCCCAAAAGATGTTCGACTAGGGTTTTTACTTACTTAAGCTTGTTTGAATACTTCTTTAATGTTCGAATAAACATGGCGCAATATTGCTGTGTATTGCCAAGAATGAATTTCATGTTCTTTGTATCTTATCAAGAAAGATACACATATGTATTTATTGATGTTAAAAGTTAAATGAGAGAAACCTACTACCATTATAGTTTAAAAGCAATTTGTAACTAATGTAAAGGCGGCAACTTTACAAAAATTATCTTTGTTAAATATAGATAGCCATCGATTTGTAGTGGCATCATGATCTAGATTTGATTTGTCAATAGTGAGAACTCCGCAGCAAATTGTAAATGCGAGTGTGGGTGTGGCTAGATAACATGAATCCACTACGCCATACATCCACACCCACACCCTGCAAATCATTGTGATTTTAATCAGAATTTATGATGAACTCTATATTCACTTTCGTAATCATATCCAATATTTCAAGTAAAAGAGACAAAGGTTATGACTGAATATTAGAGGGCTAAAGATTAGTCGGAATTCAAGGCAGAATTTTCTACATGCCTCTCTATTTCGATTACCAAAAAATTTGCTAATTATAACTCAATCACAGTTGGTTTAATAATGTAAGCACACCATATTTTAGGACCACACGGTCTAACACCAATCATAGTCATAAAATAAGCTGAGAAACGAAGAAGATTTAGTTTAATTTTAAATATTTTAATACAATCATGAATTCTAAGAGCTCGAATAGTTTCTCTCTATATCTTATATGACGTTGATATGGATACTGCATTTATGAATCAAAAAAGGACATAGTTTATTTGTTCATTGATGATTTGTATGATCCAAGCTGGAATAAAGATTTAAGGACGGCAAAACTGGTGGAAACAAATTACTTGATATAAAAAATCAAATCAAATGTTTGTGTCCTTCTGTTCATTTGTCTCTCTCTTCCGCAGTATCGAAAGATACATTTTTAGAGTCTCGTTTCTTATTTCTTTATCTGAATCAGACAAAAATAAATTTTTGAATGTCATCAAACACTTTTGAAGTTAGAAGAAATAGGCTATTGTAAAACAGACTGATCCGATTTTGGTAGTATCAGGTTTTCCAAATAATTTTCGCCAATTGTCGGCTCGTAAATCCAAGAATATTTTGGGAAGAGCGTACCATCAACCTCGTATTACTATTACATATGACTCGTTGCTATCTGTCAGCTTCTTCAATTACGGCACTCAATGAGACAAAATAATGATTATATTGATCAAGTGATACTAATAAAATATGGTTTATTTTTCGTGATGATACTTTATTTCATATTGAAAAAATAAAACAATTAAAGCTATTTGTTACAGAGGACGATTTTTCTACAAAGGCTAACGCACAAATAGAAAATCTATCAAAAATTTATGATACGAATCCATTTGGGGCTAAAATCAATCTGTTTCAGCTTTTGAATAACCTCCTACTGATCGCACATCATAAACATTAAACGACGTCAGGTATGCTATGTTCTTTTTTGGTTAACATTAGTAGAGAGTGAAAAGAATCTTAGATTCAACCATACTGCAAAGTAATTAGCTAGTAAATCTAAATTTTCTGGGAGTTGTGGTACGCTGAATGCGATAAGGAATTTATGCTAATAGCACATTTGCATTGACCTATTAATATAGTCAACCCTTTACCAAGATATTTGACAAAGTTACTAAAGTTTTAACTAGATTTTATGTCTTGCCTGTCACTTATGCGAGCTAGACTTCAATGTTTTATTTTAATACTTACATATTGCATGGTAGTGAAGGAAGCCTTACGCTTCAAATAAATAGCCAAACTCATTCCACCCAACCCACCAATCCAAACAGTTTGGGTTTGGTGCACTGAAAAAAAAAGAAGTACTCTGCGAAACTTAAAAAGGTTCCGAGATTTGCAACGAATTCGAAACCCTTTTGCGATGTCGTACGGGACCTTCAAAGTTCCGTATATAGTCTCACGAAACCTGTGTCGGAATCTCCGATATCTTTAAGGGTTTTGTGAGACTTCACGAAACCCTTGAAGAACCTCGAAGGTTCCGTATGATAAAGAAAAATGGTTTCGAATTCGTTGCAAATCTCGGAACCCTTTTAAGTTTCTTAGAGTGCTTATTTTTTTTTCAGTGTGCATGTCTAGTCTTTTTGAACACTGCATGATTGATTGAAAACTTCGCTTCATTATATAATTATTAGATGAAAACACAGAGAAATTTTCAAGAAACCCGAAAACAACAGTTATGGAATTACTTTAATTTAGAGTCATCTACATATGCGATAAGTTACTCACAATTTTGAGAAGAATAAGACAAAATTCCCGAGTACTTATACCGTTTGCGAACGTTCGTAGGTGCACTAATCTAGGAGTCTAGGCGCTAAATTTGAATAAATTCTTCGTGCTACAATACAAGTTGGCATATCAAGTATAAACTGAAGACTTCGAAAAAAGCCTTCAACTTCTTATTGTTTATACACAAGATACAGACATGTAGTTATGTTCAACTGTTTGATGAAAAGGACCTTAGTGCAGCATTCTCCAAAACCATGTTTGCTTAAATAATAAATTTTCCGTAAGCAATCAAACAACGACACATGCAGGTGAACGGCTAGTCGGCCGTTGGCGTCCCTCCGGAGCGCCACTCACAGATAGCCGTTTCTAAATTGAGAATCAATTCCACCGCAAGATGCCTATAACCTATTCGAAATAAAACCCAATATAAACATGCGATACATCTACCACTATCTACATCATCGGATGATACCCTTAAAAAATTCCCGACAAGGAATTCCTATCGCGAAAATGGGACGATCTAAACAGCTCATAATGCATTATAAACTTGCTTGAACTATGAAAGATTATTAAGCATTTAATATTCGATCCAGCGACAGCCGTTATCTTATTGGAATCAACTATATTTATTTGTTTAGGATCATAATCACTAATAGCGTCGTTATGGTACTCCTAAATGCTTTCGAAATATCAGTCACTCGTCAGTTGCTGGTCACTTAGTTTTACTTTTTCAAAAGCGCATATGTTCATTCTGTGAAACAGACCTCTGTGCAACCCTCTTTGTTTATCATAACGATGACAAAATGTTTTTGAAAAACTACACTTAAAATCGAATGACTCAGCCACGAAAACTTTGGGCCAAACTTTAAACGAAGTCATTTTTTCCCTAAAAACCTCTCGTTTTCTCCCTAGAAAAGATAGAAAGCGAAATTTCAAAAATCTGACCTCCGATTCGACTCCCTCGAGTTCGGTAGCATCTGATCAAACTTTACAAGGAAAACTATTTTCTCGAAAAAATACATTTTTTAATTAAAAAGTTGAGGATCATAAATTCTGAAAATCTGACACCAGATTAGAGTTCCTCGACGCCGATTACCTTCGGTCGACCCTATCCCTGCAGGATATTGTTTGTGGTTAGTTAAGTCTATGCATCTGCTTTCCTATTGGACGAACGAACGAACGAACGCATTCAACTCACTTTTCGTAAGACCCTCCTTTCAATAGAGGGAATTAATCGGAATGAACATTGTAATTATATTAGCATCTTTCTTCAAATTAGGTTTGATTTCAAACTTTTATTTTTATTCTTATCTTTTGAAAATCAAACCAAAATTGAATTAAATTAGAACAAATCACAAACAATTACAAACATTACAAATATTAAACATTAACTATATCAAATTAATTCAAATTCAGATTAATTAAGCAAATCGGCCTTTTATCTATATATATCGATTACGTCCTACTACAGTACTGGCCAAAATTATAGAACCATGTAACAGAATTCGTTTGTATGAAAAATAAAATTTTTCATGAGGAAGTATTTTCTCTCTAGTATACCAGATTATATAGATTCTTATACGCTCTTTCAGAATGCGATACTAAAACTTCATTGTTTCATGAAAGTATGAGACAGTAAAATTTAAAAAAAATCAAACGATTTTCATTGACCAAAAATATAGAACCTCCTAGAGTATTTTAGAAAACTTTTACAGTTACTACTGCCAATATTTACTAAATGTTCCACCCAAACATTTTTAAAAATTGATTAATACGACGAGGCATCGAATCGACCAAAGTTTTACACTGTAAGCAGGTTATACCACTCCATATTGTCTGAACCATTTGTTCCGATTGTGTAACATTGGTTGGTCTCATTTGTGTCAATTTTTTTTATCAATATGATCCCATAGATTTTCTATGGGATTAAGATCGGGGCGATATCGCTGGCCATTTCATAACTTTAATACCTTTATCTTGAAGCCATTTCATGGTATATTTAGATCGATGCGGTGGTGCATTGCCATGCATAAACATCCAATTTTTGTTGGATGAGGCGAATCCGTTTTCAATAAACGACGGTAAGGCTTCTTCGATGATCTTAAGATATGCGCGTCCATCAACTTTACCAGAATATATGACTAATGGACCTCTAGCACCACCTGCCATACACCCCCAGACCTAATGCTACCTCCACCACCTTGCACCTTTGGAACA